GATGGATGGATGGATGGATGGATGGATGGATGGATGGATGGATGGATGGATGGATGGATGGATGGATGGATGGATGGATGGATGGATGGATGGTGCCGCACATTTGAGCTGTTTGTCAGTAAAGGCACAGAGATTGGCACAGAGACACAGGGGACCTGAATAAGCAAACAGAGCCCAACCTGTCAGGACAAGGTCAGGACTGCAGAGCTGCACAGTTCTTGAATGTGCACAAAGGAAATAAACCCACATATTGCACATCCTAAATGCACACATAGGTTTAAGTCTATTAAAAGGCTGGTCATTGCAAACACACACCAACAAACATTCATAAGCATACAGTGAGTGTGCCGAGTCTCTGGGACCAATCTGTATATGTCACTTGTCAGGTTTCTACATACTGCATCCCTGAATGAGTTCTAAACAATCTAATCACAGTTGCACAGACATTATTCCCTGATGAATTAGATTGAATAGCAAATAATTAATCACATTTTACAGTCAACCATGGTTAGAATGAAGCTAACTATGTTTTGTTTTTTTTAAATACCAGAAGCTTTTAATCTACTGAAATACAATTGGATTGTGCAACAGCATTGCTTATATGATTAGGTTAATAAAATATAAATGTCTGATGGGTTAACAGGGATCCCATTCATCAGCCAAACTCAAGGGTGTTTTAGAATGTTCTTCTCCATAAGACCGTCTTTCAGGCATGTGTGAATGTGCATAAAATCATCCCCACTTTTCTGTGGAGTTACTGCACCTGTTTCAGTGTTTATGTCTGTACAGAAGTACACTGGTAAGTCCCGGCGTATCCTAAAGCCCCGTCTGCAGCCTTCAAAGGAAGGTGCGCAGGAGCTTTGAGGGATTAGTTCAGCGTGTTGGCGTGATGTTTAGAGCACCTGCTTTGAATGTTTGCAGCCCACTTCACGGTCCACTCCCATGGTAAGGCATAGAAACTGACAAAATTGGGAAATATTTTATTACTACTTGTGTTTTGGATTCTTTTAGATGTATCTGAGTGTGAGATTCTCTTTGTAAATTTGACTCAGCGGCAGTTGGAGCACAACTGGTGCTACACTGAGCATGACAAATAAAATTTCTAACACTCACACAGGAAGGATCTATTTTTTTTTTTAGATTTTTTTTTTTTCACTAAACTTCTGCTATAAATTTTTAACCTTTAATCTGAACCAAACAGCAAGCAAAGAAGGAAAAAGGCATGAAAAATGCCAGGCTCGAGGGCTGTCATGGTTTCCTCGGTTAAAGTAGAATTTTCCACCTTTAAAAATGCAGGTTTAAGAAACCTAAGAAAAAATACTGTATTCAAGAATCAGACCCAGCTATATGTGCTCATTTTGCCCTTAGGCTATAGCTTTATCAATAGCATGAAATTCTCCCACAAAACATTACTATTTATGTCCTGATGTATGGAATAAGATATACTAATGTATACCTGAGTGTTGTGGAGTATGTATCTACAAGCTTTGCAGAAGTAACGACTTGATTTTCATACTATGGTGTGCAGAAGACTTGAATCAGTAGTTATGGATTTTATTTCAAATGTGGTTTTCTTCTCGTCCCTCTCCCATAAAGGCCAAAATGCTTGACTATTATTATCATGTTGAGAGATTTTTATTTTTGTTTTTTAAGTGAATGGCCTGTTTGCAATTGCGTCATATTTTCAGGGGTTGGCCTGAACAGAACTCTATGTAAAGACCTGGAATAATGTTCTTTCATTTTCAAAGTCAGAACCAATTGTAGTTTTTTTGTCTATCGGAAATTCTGTTTTAGGAAAAAAAGAAAAAGTGAAAAAAATCCAAGATGGGAGATTTTTTTTTTCAGCTTAGAGTTATTAAGTGAACCTTTTGCAACATTTACAACAGCAAAGCTTCTTACAACCACAACCTGATGCCTTCTTATTCTGCTGGTGAGCATGCTACGGCAGCTCCCAAGTTTGGCAAGTATGAAGTGTATTTATAGGAACAAGAGCAAATCCTAGCCAGCATTTAAAGGACCGAAAACTAAGAAGTCGTTTGCAAAAAACTTGGCGTGGATTAGAGATCCTTCCAATATCAACATAAAACTACAAGTGAGAGGTGTTAATTTCTACCCAGGCTTTACAACTGGGACTGGAAACAAACAGCTCAGTTCAGTTCTGGCGAACTGCAACCAAAAAAAAATCAGACAAAAAATAAAATTAGTAAACGAGATATTCTCAGACTGACAAATTAGCGAGTTATGATAAATATATTAATGCGCCATATAATTGGGTGCAAAAATGACAGCGTGTTAATCAGTGGCCTGAAGAGGTGTTGATAGGCCTGTTTTTAACATCTTGACTGAGATGCATCCAAACTGTTCCCTCCCTGCAATTTAACAAATAATAATTGTGAAGCTTACGAAGGCATTATTACAATAAGAAAAGTAACTCCTAAATTAACTAATTATATTCTTTTCAGACGCATAAATAGGATTAAACTTTTCAGTCTATAATGTAAAAGTGCAAAGCCTTCTCTGACCCTGTATTGAGATAGTCTACGCTGTAGAAAGAACACGTCCGGCGTTCAGATGATACCAGCTGAATTTTAATTCTGCGGTCTAGTAGTATCATCCTGAGGGAGCGGAGCTCTTAGAACTGGGTCTGACTCTGACCTGAATGTATCTCCCTCTCTCTCTCCCCTTCCTCCATAATTCATGTTCTAAGTGTGTGTGGGGGATTATTTTTAGCTAAGAAAAGCGAACAGGCTGTGTACAGACAAACGGAACTTGGACAGAACCACATGGCAGGTATGTGAAATACAGCCGGCCCGTAAAGCTTCACTGGTTGTGGTTCCACTATTGCAGAGTTGGTGTGGAAGCGTGTATGTGGAAAGAAGCAGATGTCTGTCTGTTCTGGTTGACAGCAGATGACACTGATAAGAAGGGAGAAAGAAGATTTTCACATTCATCTTCTGGGTGCAGAGTCTGCCCTTGCAGCCCAGCAAAGCATCAGCTGTCACATGCGCTACACACTACTGGAGGTGACAATTAATTTTCGCATTGCACTTCATCATAGGATCTCACACTAACGTCAGGGCTCTGCAAACCTCGTCAAACTGCTTAACTTTGACATTTATGTGCCGTAATACTCATTGTGCAAAAACCACAACAAAACATGTGCAATGACAGAAATGAGAAGGAACATCCGAGAAAACTAAACAGTGACGTGCAAAACCTCAACAAAGACAGCAGAAACCTCAGAAAGACTAGATACAAGTGGAGCAAGCTGAACGTAAAAGAAAACAGAAAAGTATTTTGAAAATTACACTTTGTTAAAAGAGGCTTTTTAAACACATTTTATACGTTTATAAGAAGCCGAGCGCAAGGTGGTTTGATTAAAGATTTGCCCTTTTTTGGTTTTCTGGTATCCATCTAATAAATATTTACCACATTAATATTGTAGAGAAACACTGCATCCAAATAACCTTTTGACCCTTCTTTGTAAGGTAACACAGGTCAGAGCAGAGGACTGGAATGGAATCCACAAAGAAGGCTATAAATTCAGATTTATAGAACAAAGGCCGTAGTAAATGTAATACTATAGTACAATACAATAATTTTGTTGCATACATTTTGCAAACACAGCAACCATCGTTTTGTCTAGTTCGATGCACATTGGGTGTACATTAAAACTACAGTGTGTAATTTTCAGCGACATCTAACGTCCAGACTGCAGACCGGGACAAAATACGGGACAAAATGTCTTCCACGACGTCCGCATCACCTACCTTCTCAAGTGATGAGGTTTGTTTACATAGATAATTTTACAGATAGTATTTCNCTCGTAGATGATGATAAATAACATAGTTATGTATAATATATTACATTTCTGACTGTATATCCCTGTAATTATTACACACTGTAGCTTTAATATTGCTTTGTCTACTATTGTCTACAATGATTTCACTGCAAGCAAAATCAAGAAAATAAAACAAACACTAAAAGGTCTATAGTTAGTTTATTTTAGAATTTGATATAATATTCTAGTAAGAAAAGTGATTTAGGTATATAAAATTTAAAATTTTGGCATACTCAAGTGTATGTTCAGTAAAAATACACATCCATATGCTTAATGAATAATTAAACATTAGTTACATGATCAATGTTACATGAAGGTATTATTATATTATAGTATTATATATATATATATATATATATATATATATATATATATATATATATATATATATATATTTATATATAAAACATTGGCAAAAATCTAAATATTTCCTTTGTTTGTTGTTTATCTTTATACTTTATAACTGCCTGACCATGTTGAGCACAGAGGTAAGGCTATAATAAAAAATGTTTATGTTCGCCTATGTGGTCAATAAATTAAATCAATCAGATTACTTTAAAATAGTCAACTCCTATACCATGGCTGCCCCTCTAGGCTTGCAGTACTCAATATTTCATTGGTGCAGACAGAGTATCTGCATAATGTAGCATGATACGGTCATTGGAACAACATTTTTCTAGTTATGGTTCTTGTAGAAGTAGCACAGTACATTGCATCTCTGATTTACAACACTGATACCATTGGTTTGTCTAAAATGTTTGTGGCAGTTTGGTCTACCAAGATAACTTGGAATTTGGTGTGCTATAGTATTTTACATTTAAAAGGGTAACGAAAGCCAATGTTATATACAAAAGTTAAAGCCAAATATCTTCACTCAACATAGAAATTTAAGGTTGATATTGTGTCTGACGTACATGGGAGCAATGAAATCAAAGCAAGTTTAACTGAATTGGTTTGAAACTCTAGGAAAGTACTTATTTACATATATTTCTGCATATGACTTCAATACTGTTGTGGAAGCTACTATCAAACATATGGGGACAGATCGTGTAGGAGTGTCTACTTTCTTCAAGCAATCATCAAAGGAAAACTTGACTGGTTGCAGATTTTCAGGGTTTTTTCTGCACAGCAGAATCACCAGCTAAATTGCCTTGAATCCTGATTTAGCATGTACATGATGGAAAGCAAGTTTCACCTAGAAGCACAGCAGCGACTGTGACAGAGTTTGGCATCAATAACCCAGTCACAGGAAGGTGTATGACACCATCAATAATTGCTTAGTCACATAATGATTATCAGACAGATACGGTTGCATTTACAAATATTTCGTCCTAAAGGAACCATGCAGCATTAGCAGGAGAAAATATGTAAACATAAAGTAATAAGTAAAAGTAGTTAGAAAGGGAACTTTTTGGTGAACTTTTAAACACTGGTGCTGGCATATGTTGAGCGTAAAGTGGAGGGATCAGTGAAATTAAATCAGAGAACAGAATAAACACACACAACTGGGAGGGATGAAGCAGACAGGAAGAAAAGAAAGGGATGCAGAATGAGCTGGATATTCATGGTGTGCATCATATCTTCTAAAATTATTACTTTAAAAGATCTTTAAAATTTGCTTTATTTATTTTTAATTCTTTAAAACTGTTACTTCCACAGTCTTTCAAGACATTAAACATTTTTATATTTTTATTTCAATGCATATTTACATCATAACTGGTGTTTTTCTTCTTTCTTTCCTCCTTTTATTATCATTATTATTATTATTATTATTTTTGCAGGAATACACATTTGAATTAAACAGAATAAATAGTGAATTGCCTCAGATCTCCTAGGTAGGGAAAACTCACCACAGAGTCCTGAAGGAAAGATCCGAGATGAGCAAAAGAACTTCGCTGCCCTTCACTCATCAACCACGAATACCTGACGCCTCCGGTCCCATCTCCCTCTTGTGTAGATATGTCCCCCCTACACACACACACACACCTACACACTCCCACTTAGACCTCCCTCCTCCTGCACTGCAGAGCACGAGCAGTTTTGGGGCGCTGACTGACGAAGCGGGGTTGAAATGCAGCTCGTTCCAGGATGGAGAGGATTCCCTCTGTGCGCTTTGCTGCGCTCCGGGCTCAATATGAGGAGGAGGAGGGACGGTGCGCCACTTAACTGGAGTTTGGAATCCTCTGGCTCCATTGGGGGCCACAGAAAGCGCACCGTACATCTGGGGACCAGCGGACAGCGATCGTGGGCCTTTTACGCCATCTAGTGGTTATTAGGAGGAACATTTTACCAAAAAAAGAAAACTAATTCTGTGCTGCTCAGATTTGATTGGCTCCGACGCGCTTCAGTGGTTTCATAATAAGCGCTGACCACACACCTGAGACCGCATGGCAGCTGAAGTTCACACTGTTCCCGACAGATTCCTCTCCTGAGATCAATTTAATGCGTTCAATCAGAACCCATTTGCAGGCTGATTACGTTGCATGCATAAATGGGGAAAAAATCACAAAGATTAACCTTTAAGGCGAAAAAGGGGTTCGTGTGTAGAGATTAAACATATTGTTAGACCTAAACCAGGGAAATTAGAAAAAAAAAAAAAAANAAGGGGTCTAAAGCTAGTCCTATATATATATATATATATATATATATATAGGACTAGCTTTAGAGTTGCACAGCAAAATTTGTATCTTTTTTTAATCTATTTTGAGATAATTTTACCTCCAGTTAATTAACAAATTCAACTGCTCAGCTAAATTATTTAGCTACTATTCACTTTTTTTTTTATAGAATTATTCTTTGGAATGATCATATTGTTTATAATTTACTAGTGCTCCTGATAATCACGAAAAACAATCTTAAAGACAGCATTTACATTTGTATGTCCGTGAACTTTGTAGTAAATGCAGCTGATATTTGGTCATTTGGTCAGCACTTCTAAAATATTTTTTTTTTACCATTCATTTCTGCATTAGTGCAGCATGGATGTGGTGCACCCTTCTACCTCCACCTCAAGGTTTGTGTAATTTCATAATTCTGCAGGTGCAGATCAGCTGGAGGTGGAAGCATTCAGGAACAAACCACTTTCCCAAGAACTGAGGGGGGGATTTTGTTTAAGTTTACTTTAGTTATTTTATCACCTTAATATTCAATTAATTGTGCCAAGTAAAAGAGTTGTTTTAGTTATGTTTTAGTTTTGTAGGTTTGTATGGACTTTTTATTTATTTATTGCTTCTCTGCTATATTGTGCCTCCCTCATTTGGAAAGTTTAGGTTATTCCAGCCCTATTTAAGCAGCCTCTGTTTTTTATCAGTTAGTCAGTTTTTAGTTTGAGTTAGTTCCACTTCAGTTGACCTGAGTTGGACCCAAATCCATTTTATTTATTATTTAAGCTATTTTGAATTGCTCTTGGGCCTTTTTTTTTTTTTTAACTATTTTGACACTATTAAATGAAAGTTATTTTTCCAATTTTTGAAAACCTTTTGTCCTTATTTAAGTCTGGTCCCTTGCAATGAAAATGATCAATATGTGGTTCCCTTGAGCTGTAAATACCAAGGTTACTTTAACTTGTGAAAATGCTGGGTAATATATCTCATACATAATTTTAATCAACTGCAACTTTGGACATTAAGGTATTGAAAACACCTATATTAATTTAATTGAAGTGAAAATTATCTACAAATGTACCATCCACAGAACAGTACATGCTTAAAAATGTAATCCACAATCATCTTAGTAAATTTAAAATCTTCAAGCTCCTACCAATCATAATTTTTCCTAGCTGCAGGCTCAGATGTAATTTTGAACAATGGTCTTGTGCTGCCCTTTTTAAAGCAACTGCCCTTAAATTCCATTTCATAAAACACTTTTAATTCTCTGCTATCCAGCACACATGAAATACAGGACAAGTGGTGGCTGAACCCAAATATTTAGTCAAATTCTAAACAAAGTTTTTGGCAAAAATTTGAAGATTTAACATTGGGAATTACATTTAAAACCTGATGTTCTGAATTAAAAGTTCAGTAACTTGAAATAATTCATTTCAATGGAGCAGTTTAAAAAGAAATTCTGTGGTACAAAATCTCAGTTTGAAGTGCTTTTAAATCCTACATGGATTAATAGCTTTATCTCCTTACAAGCTTAGGCCTGGTGCTATTTCATTCAAAAAGCATTGGCAGTGATTTACAAGGCAGCAAATTTAGGGGGATAATTTGTCTAAAACGGATTTGTGTTGAAATCGCATTTAACCTGATAAGTTTTGGGGGTAAATAGGCCAAACATTCAGTGGCATATGTCAAAGACTTAACAATGTGGACCAATTCTAGCTGATTATTTCTTTATTCCAACTAGACTGTGGATCACATGGATATTTATATGAATTGGCAATTTTAAGATTGACCAACTTTTACACTTGGGTCAGATAATGACTGTGACCATCAGGGAACAGTCCACTTTTTTTTTTTATGACATTACTAAAGGTTTATTGGTTCTGTCTAAGGGAATTTAAATGAAACCATATGTTGTTTGTTTTTCTTCACACATGCAAAACACCATGTGTGAAGAAAAGACCAAAAAAAGAAGACTAAGACTTTTCATCTCTTTGAGCACTATTCTAAAAGGGAAAAATTATTAGAGAGGAAAATCCTCGAATAAAACTGATTAGACGTCAGGGTGGTGTGGAGGCTCATTTTCCAGCGGGGCGATGCCCCCCTGTCATATTTCCAGACCATATGTGGGAAAATGGAAGTGGAATTTAGGTTAAGATCAAAACATATACATGTGTTAGAGTGATCTAGTTAGAGTTATCAACCCAAATTCAACTGATAATATTTGCAAACACTTGAAAATCAGTGTTTTAAGGATGCACCCTATCCAGTGGGACTGAGCTTGTGATTTTTAAAAAAGGGCAAAGATTTTTGGTCTCTAGAAATGCAAGACTGGTTTAGGCCAGATTAGCTTCAACGGCAGCAAATTGTGGGCCTACAAAATAATAGCTTATTGGTAAAGCTAAAAGGGAAAGTAGAGATAAATAAAATCTTTCAACGGGTGTGCACTAATTTGTGTTTCCATAGAATCCCAAGACTAATGCAATGAAGCTTGAACTTCCCACTGACAAAATGTGAAAAGTGTAATTAAAAAAAAATAATTTAATACATTTACCTATACAAATATTAACACACTTTTTCTTTAGTTTGTATATTTCATTACAACTGAGAAAGAGATAGTGGTGTTTTTTGTTTTTTTGTTTCAGATGTCTTTTTGTTTGTTTTTGTTTTTTTTTGTCTTTTTTCCCCCATTAGAAACCCTACCTTTTAACCTGTATCTCTTACATTCTCTGTGGAAGTTAAGTCCTAATGTCACATCATTTTTGTAGTGAAGCTGGAGCTTTGTGCGGCCGGACCACGCCCCGGTCGCGGCGTGCTGTGCTGCTCAATGAGCTGGGTTAGCTCACTGCTGCTGCTTACCTTCAGGTGTTACGCAGAAAAAAGGGCCCCAGTAATCAGAAGCACGTCCACCTTTTAATTTGATTTCGTTGTCTTTATTAGTAATTAAATATCAATAAAAAAAACAAATGTATATACATTTAATGTAATATATAAAAATATTTTATTAATCGAATATTTACATATTATTTTTTGTTATATGTCATTATATATCTCAAATTCTCCAGAGACTTGTTGGTCTCAAGTGGATTTTTCCATAAGAAAAGCTACTTTTTAACTTGTATTTCTACATTCTGTGTGAAAGTATAAAAGATAAATAGAATATGTATGTGTACAATTAACTATATATTATTTTTATTCGAGAACGGTGGAAAGAAACTGCCTTCAAATGACGGGGGCGCGTTTTTCTGCACAACACCGTGCCTCCCGTTAGGTTTACAAACCCTGCGAAGATGGCGACTACAGGGAGGAGTGCATTATTATCCTCCACATCAGCTGGACCTAAGAGCACACTGGAGAGCTCCAACCCAGAGGAAGAAGACGGACAGAACCTATGGTGGGTGATAGAAAATTAAAGTGCTTTTAGTGTGCGCAGGTTTTTGCAGTCTGGTAGCGGAGAGCCACAGTGTTGTGGCAGGGATGGTTTGACAGCTAGCCTGCTAGCGATGCTAACTAGCATCAGCACCAGGCGGAGTGGTGACAGAGCGGCACCAGCTCGCTAAAGCCACTTATTGTTTATCTGTGAATGTTCTTTTTTTTCTTTTTCTTTTTTTTAACGGGCCCTCTCTGTCTACAGGTCCACCATCCTGAGTGAAGTTTCTACCCATTCAAGATCCAAACTACCGTCTGGGAAAAATGTCCTGGTCATGGGTGGGTATCTGTCTGCAGTCTCCTGCTTAGCCAATGGGCATCGTTAGCTCTGATAGCCTGGTAGCTGCCGATCCCCTCATCCTGTTCTCCAGACTTAAATCAGCTGTAGCTAAACCTGCTGAGGATGGTGATGAGGATGATGATGATGGGGTATTTTTCTACAAGCTTTGTGTTCGGGGAGATGGAGGCAGGTGTCTGTTCCTGACGCATCATCGTTATGTTGTGAGAGAAACCCTGCAAGTCATTCTAGCTTTCAGTGATGCTACACGCTGCTAGGCAACAATTATTCTGAGAAACTGGTGAATGGGTGGGGAAAAATGCAATATATTGTGATGTTTAGTTTAAGCGATGCAGGAATGATCCCTTTCCAGTCCTCGGTAGTGCTTACAACACTTCCGCCTCTGATAATCCGCTGCTTGCTATCCATTTCAGCTAATCAGCCTCCTGGTTACCTGTGCGTGGAGTGCTGTGTGTGTATGGCAGGCCGTTTGCTTGTTATGCTGTCCATGACAACATCAGCAACCTCAGCAGCTGTAATCTCCACAGGCCCCCTGTCGGTTCAAGCTGATATGACACAGAGCAAGAATGGAAAAAAATGACATAAACATTGTCATGCAAAGTGTCTAGATTTTATGCAGATATTAAGAGCAGTGTTTCAGCAGTTGATTCCCAATTAAAATATATTTCTCTGATCTAATGAGTTGGACTTGCACTATATAAATAACACATGTACCTCAAATAATAAGTTACTGATGCGGTTCACATTCTGCAAAGAAGTTGAAAATTGTTAATACTCATTAAATCCTACTCACCTTAGTTCTGCTTATGAAAACTTGCAAAATCAGTGTTTATTCTATATATATATATATATATATATATATATATATATATATATATATATATATATATATATAATGTCTAGAATCAAATCCACACTCAGCATACAAATGTACAGTAATATTATTTTAATAAAAACAACAAGACAAGAACAAATAAACATCTTTGCTTTTCTTTAAATTTATGTAAAAGGTGATTTTTTTTTTATATAAATATATATATATACACTGCATTATGTATGGCCATTGCTTTAGTTCTATGCAACATATTGCTATAGAAATACTTATTCAGGTGATATAAATACTATGCAGCGTTTAATTGATATCCCCTGTCTCATGGAATGTTGAGGATTCTCAATTAATAATATAACATTTATTTAATGTTTTGATTTTACAGCAAAGATATTATGAAAATAAAATGTACAAATCCACGTTTAAGGCGAAATAAGAGCTGCATGATGAATTGAATCCATGGTTTATCCATATCTAATGGTATTATAATTGGATTCTCTCAATTATAACTATGCCAATCAATCAAAGGCTTATTTGATCACTTAGAAGGATTTTAAGGTTGTATAATAAAGTGATCAAGATCATAAAGATTGGGGAAAGTGGAGGAAACACTATGATGATGGAAAAGAAGAAGAGTAATAAATGAAATGTGGGTTGATTCCTATTCTTATTGTCAAATATTGGCAATATTTAACAATACAATTTTTAACATCATGCAACTCTATATAAAATGGATTCAAATAGCTGATAATCATTTCATTCACAGTTACACTCTTAAGCTTTTCTGTTCCTCATAAAACATTAACAGCAATATAGCAAGCTGACATTAGCTGGTCATTTAGTAGGGTTATCAGCTCATCTATAGCCTGCTGTCAGCTGTTATATAGACATTTTGCTGCTAGCTTACCAGGTGTGCTTCCAGTGCAATTCTACTTTGATATGACGGTGGTGGACTATTTTCCTTCCCAGTTGTGAGTGTCCACCTTACCAACTTTAAATTAAAAGGTATAGGAATGAATGCAGCAAGATGTGGGGGGACAAGGTGCTTTTTCTGGCTTCACCTGAAAGGAACTTAAACTATAGTAGGAGAAGAATCAGTAAAACTGTAACTTTTCAAAATGTTGTTTTAGTCTTGATATAAAAAATGTCAAAATGTAAAATTAAATACAATTGTGTGATAAGCTTTCCCTATTCCATCCGTGTTATTCATTTTTCTTCTCTCTTTAGGTGAGGTGGGCTCAGGGAAGACTACCTTGGTTGCAAAACTACAAGGTATTGAGGATTACATGAAAGGTCGTGGCCTGGAATACCTCTACTTCAGCGTCCATGATGATGATATTGATGGTAACCCGGACATGGCTGCATATTTAGATTTCTTTTCTTAGTTTTTTTTTTTACATCTTTCTGCTTCCAAGACAGCAGTAGTACAAAGTCTTATAACAATGCTACTGAAGTCTTGACCTAGTTTGTGTTTTTGTGTAGATTACACACGGTGCAATGCCTGGGTCTTGGACGGAGACCTTTACCACAAAGGTCTGCAGGGAGTAGCTGTGCCAGTGAGTTCGATTGAAGACACTTTGCTGCTGATAACTGTTGACATGTCACGGCCGTGGAACGCCCTGGACTCCCTTCAGAAGTGGGCTGCCGTTGCTAGGGAACACATCGACAAACTCCGAGTTGCTCCAGAAAAGCTGCGGGAGCTGGAGCACAAAAGTGAGTCAGATGGAGGGGTGGGGGGGGGGCTGTCTCTACAGAAGCATCCTCAGACATTTGATCTCAGTTTCCACATGTGCCCACATTTTTAACATTGAACTAACTTTTTTGTGGTTTGTAGTCGTAAAACTGTTTCAGGAGTACACAGAACCAGGCAGCGGAGAGGACGGCACGCCGCAGAGGAGGAGTGATGAAGAGGAGGGTGTGCTTCTGCCATTAGGGGATAACACATTGACACACAACTTAGGAATACCGGTGGTGGTGGTCTGCACAAAGGTAGAGGGCCTTTTGTAAAGTTTGGATAGAAGTTTACATACACTCATTCAGAGCAATGTCATAAATCCTTTCATTGATGGATTTTGATTGAATATAGCGGATAGGTGGGATATTTTTCAAAACAAGTAACTGGTGCACTTTCAATTTGCCTTGGATTTTACTCCACGCATTGTCAGAATTGCTCATGAAGGCTCAAGTGTTAACCCAGCAATAGGGCTCATATTAGGTGGTAGATGAAGTTGAAGAATTTGGTTCAGCACCTGCTAAGTCAATGTAAATGTGTTTCCGTTAGAAATGTGTGCAAAAACGTTTTAATATTCTGCTAATCTCAAAAATGCAAGTTTTTGCTATTACGGTACTTCCATCAATTAAAATAGCATAGAATATGTTTGTTACAGAGATAACTCCAGAACACAACATGATAGCGGCGGATGTAAACACGTATAGCAATATTTCAGTCAAGGCTCTAGTTCTCATTGTGCAAATTTTTATAAATGTGACAAATGCTCATTCTCCCCATGAATCCAAATATGAAGAACCATCATCCTGCAACTACTTATTCGTTTTGACAAGGTAGTAAGGTCCAGTTGCAGATCACAGGTGGACATATCAAAGTGGACATATCAAAGCTTGTTTTGCAATAGACAAAGCTAGCATCAAACTTCTGGAATAGCTCCAACTGTGGTTAACAGCCAAACCCATTTGAATAATTTCTCAGAAATTGTTGAATATTTAACCAAAATTATCTCATAGGCTGAATGCATTATTGTGACCCTTTCCCAATAGGAGTACATTTGTTTGTGTTGTAAAGTAAACAGTCCAACCTGGAAAAAGATTGACTCTTAATAAAATCACAACAATAACATTATGCCTAAGACTTGGAGGAGTGTATGTAATCTTATCTCCACGACTACTGTATATAAAACGTTTGCATTAAGGTAAATTATGCATCAATGCCGATTGATTGCTCTTACCTGCTTATCTCTCCTCAGTGTGATGCTATCAGCACTCTGGAGAAGGAGCACGACTACAGAGACGAACACTTGGACTTCATCCAGTCCCACATCAGACATTTCTGTCTGCAGTGTATCCTTGAAAAAACACCAGTGCTGCAGCTGCAGGGCTAAACTTTGCATGCACAGAAACACAGCGGAATATGCGACACATGAAGGGCCTTTAAAAGGCTGCTATAATGTTTGTGTGCACTGTTTGATCCTTCAGCAGCTTGTTTCTTTTTTGGAATAAACTAGAAAAAACTTGCCATCTTTTGTGTTTGTTGCAGAGATTTTGCCTAAGTTCAGTAAACAGGTCAACTGTTACCACTTTAGATAATTTGTTTTTCAGCTGCCTTTTACCTTGCCTTATAGTAAGAAAGTTTTCAATGTTTATTAAGTGAAATTGTTTTTGCTTTCTAAGCTGATTTTAATGTGTCCAAGCAAGAATTCATTCAGCTTAAACCCTGATTTTTTTTCGTATTTTTTCTCTTTTAAAGGTGTTTGTAACCATGGTATCAGGCCCATTTTTGCTGACATTGCTTTGTTCAGAATAGCCTTGACAGTCCTTTCAGACGGCGCCTCTTTGCTTTACACGTCAGTGAAGGAGATGAAGAACCTAGACATCCTTTACAAATATCTTGTTCACAGACTCTATGGCTTTCCCTTCCACTGCCCGGCGCAGGTGGTGGAGAAAGACGCCGTCTTCATGTAAGCTGGTACACTTCATCTCCCAGGGAATGGCAGCAACATCTGTAGTTGATTTGTAACCCTGCCTGTGCTCTGCCAGTCCGTCAGGTTGGGATAATGAGAAAAAGATCGCCATCCTTCATGAGAACTTCCAGACGCTGAAAGCAGACGACAGCTTTGAGGATGTAGTAGTCAAACCGCCTGTTAGAAAGGTACAAGCACTTGAAAAGAGTTTTCATAGCCTTCATAATCCATCAATTTCACAGCTAATGTAGCATTAGTGTTAACTGTCATCATCATAACCTTAACTTCCGAACAATTTAAAGTGACAGGTTTTCACAAATGAACATGTTAAAATAAAAGGGAGGGTAAATGATCCACAGCATTCAAAGCTTTCACCATCCGAAAATCTAAGTGGTGTGGTCAGTATTTACATTTTGCTCCACTGAGTCAACACTTCACTGAGTTGCCTTTTACTATAACTACAGCGGTCTCTTAGAGGAAATCTCTATTAGCTTTATGCTTCTAATGGCTCAGATATTTGTCATTTAAGGTAAAAAAAAAATGGCACATCATATTGCATATTCAGTATGAAGTCCTTGAAGTTTTTAAATCATGCAATATAACATATAATACAAATCCATCATAACAAAATCAGTCTGTTAATGGAGCTTAATAATAATATAGTCAAATATTAAGAATATTACACACTCACACTATCTGATGTGCCAAAAGTTCTAAATTGATTATGTGCATGTAATATACGTGTATTGATTACATTGTTACGTTACCGTATTTTCACGACCATAAGGCGCACCGTACTAAAAGGCGCAGTCTCACTTATGTGTCCCATTTCTGTATTTAACACACACATAAGGCGCACCGGACTATAGGGCGCGTTTTTTATTTACAGGTACATGTCCTCTACTACCTTTAAATACCTC